TGACAGGTACTACTCTTGTGCTGGCTTTGCAATCTAAGTCTCCAGCAATGGCCTCTCGGTCCCAATGATAGCTAGCAGTTTCCAACAAGATGAGACTTCAGTATCCATGCCTAATTGCTCTGGCGAAGATGGAGGTGAGCTACCTTCTTGAGCACTGAAGTCTGTGGGGTATAGATCCACCCACGGTGCTGCTTGGAAGGGAATTCCAAGATTTGGACCCAGCAGCACTGAAGGACCAGTGATATATTTCCAAGTCAGGATGGTGGGTGGTTTAGATGAGAACTTGCACATGAGTGGTATTCCCATGTGTCTGTTGCTCTTGTCCTCCTTGATATCACTAAGCCTGAATGAAATCAGCTGAAGACTTACCTTTGCGGACTTTGGGGGAATGGACAGAGGTAAGTGAGAATGATGTAGATATTTTTCCTCTTGGTAGTACAGAACTTAAACATTGCTTACAAGAGAAAAGAAACAAAGTTGTCCATCTAAAACTCATCAGGTCTATGATGCAAGAAACAAACTTGAAGAAAAGGATACCAGTGTATTTAGTATGAGCAGACAATGCTGATTGATTGAGTAACCATTCGCGTGGCCAATTCTGTGCTGTATAAATTAGTGTCCCTTCCTTGCTTGATCATATTCCTGATGTGTGCAATATGAAAAACTTTGACTTATTTTTGTCTCCTTTTGGTAATCTTCACCTCTAGTTAGTGGTCTCAACACCTACTGTAGACCAAGTCTAGAAGTTATGCCCTTTAAGACCTGGCCAGCTCCATCAGTATTGGTGCTGCTGAGCCACACCTGTCGATAGATGTTCAAGTCCCCTACCAGAGTACATTCCGTGCTCTTAGCACACTCAGTGCTTCTTCCAAGTGGTGCCCAACATGGAGGGCACTGGCTCATCAGTCAAGGTGTGGAGAGGAGTGGTTGGTAGTAATCAGTAGGAGGTTTCAACTCCACATTAAGATCCTCAATTGTGGTGACAATGGGAGGCTGTCCACACACCTTACCATCATGGACATAATTGGTGAAGGATAGGAAGGTAGTGGAGCCATCAACCAATGTTTAAGTGTCCCTGCCATCAATCTCACGATGGGGCAGGACAGTTAATTCTTCCTAATGTTTTTAAAAGAAGAAAATAAATAAAGCATTGATTAACAAAGAGCCTTCCGCAATCTCTGGGTATCCTAAAGTGCATGAGGGACTTAAATACTTTTTAAAAATAATCACTGTTGTAATGTACAAAATTCAGCAGCAAAATTTGTGCAGAGCACAGTCCAACAAGCAGCAGTGTGATAATGACTGGATAACCCTTCACACATCCATCCCCCATCAGGATAGTCTCAGGGCTCTCCACTTCTTCCCAGAGAAAAGGCCTGAACCGTCCCCATACAGCACCACCCTCCTCTGCCCGTCCGAGCTCATCCTCACTTTGAACAACTTCTCCTTTAAATCCTCTCACTTTCTTCAGATCAAAGGGGTGGCCATGGGTACCTACAGGTGCCCAGTTATGCCTGTCTCTTTGTGAGGTACTTGGAACATTCCATCTTACTTGGATCCCTCCTCACAACTCTTTGATGATAACATCGGTGCTGTTTCATCTCTCATCCAGAATTGGAGAAGGTTATCAATTTTGCTTCTAATTTCTACCTCGCTCTCACCTTCACCTGGTCTATCTCTGCCTCCTCCCTTCCCTTCCTCAACATTTCTGTTTCCAATTCCACTATAAACCCAAAGACTCTCACAGTAACCTCGATCTTACATCCTAACACACTGCTTCCTGTAAAGACTCAATTCCATTCTCCCAGTTCTTCCATTTCCATTGCATCTGTTCCAATGATGCCAACTTCGACAGGGGGTCTCCAAAATGTTCACCTTCCTCCTCAACTGAGTATCACCCCACCACCATGGTTGACAGGGCCCTCAACCAGGTCTTACCCATCTCCCACACTTTGGTCCTCACCCACTCTCTTCCTTCCCACAACAGCGATAGGGACCCCCTCAGCCTTACCCACCAACCCACCAGTATCCACATCCATAGGATCATTAGCCATCATTTCCACCACTTCCAGTGGGATACCATCACCAGACACATATTCCCCACCCTCCCTGTCAGCCTTTTGCAAGGGCTGTTGCCTCCGGGACAACCTGGTCCACTTCTCCTTCACTCCCAACACCCACCCACACCTCCACGGCACCTTCCCCGGCAACCATAGAAGGTGTAACACCTGTCCGTTTACCTCATCCCTCTTCAGTTTCCAAGGCCTTCCAGGTGAAGCAGCGCATTACCTGCACTTCATTCAATCTAGTCTACTGCATTTTCTGTTCACAATGTGGTCTGCTCTACACTGGGGAGATGAATCACAGACTAGATGATGGCTTTGCAGAACACCTATATTCTGTCTGCAGAAATGACTCAGAGCCTGCCATTTCAATACGCCCGCGTGTTCCCTGGCCGGACTTGCTGCAGTTCTCCAGCGCTCCAGCGAAGTGTAGCACAAACTGGAAGAACAGCACCTTATTTTCCACTTGGAAACCCTACAGTCTACTGGATTCAGTATTGAGTTTAATAATTTTAGGGCTTGAATACCTTCTCCCATGTCCTTATGCCAATCCCCACATACCAGGCCTTGTCCTCACATGAGCTGCTATGACAAATAACCGATTGTCAGCCACCAATGGCCCCTATTAGCAGCTATTCATTTTCCCACACTGACCTTGACCAAGTCTTTTGTCTGTCCAATTGATTTTCTCTTTCTTTGGGCTGTAACTCCACCTATCATTTACTCCTCCGCCCTCCCCCAACCCCATCTTTAGCATATATACCAACACTTTCCCAGCTACAATCAATTCGGAAGAAGGGTCACTGGGCCCAAAATGTTAACTTGGCTTTCTCTTCACAGATACTGCCAAACCTGCTGAGTATTTTTTCCAGAATTTCTGTTTTTCTTTGTGACATCTAGCATCTTTGTTTATTTTGAGATAATCTGTTTTATTTTGTGTTATTAGTTGAGGAATAAATATTTGCTGGGGAGAACTCCATGAAAGTGCCATGGTGATTTTAGCATCCATTTGGAAATGAATGTTATAAATGTTAAAATCTACAAGTTTCCAACTAGATGGTCATGGTCATGGAGTGACCCAGTGAAGAGCGTGGTACTGAATAAGACAGGCCGAGATCATGAGCTGTAGTAACAGCAGACCAAGTTGTGGTGCTGTAATGTTGTGTAATGGACTAAATAACATCAAGTCTCTCACTTTGTGCCAGTTAAAGATCAAAACATTGTAAGTTTTTAGGGTAGGTTGGTAATGTGTTTCAGAAGCTTTGTAATAAGATTGCATTGCATAGAAATAGTGTAGAACTGGGCCAGTGCTATGAATAAGCCTATCTTGTTTAAACACAGTTATAACCCATCTTTGAGTGCTGTTTTGTTCCCTGCTTATTTATTTAATTTAACTTAGTTATGGGATTTGAAAAGATTGTTGCATCAAGAGTTACGTTTGACAGTTAGAAACTGTAGTCTTTTGAATATGCAACCAAGTGACAACAACTAATTTTGCAGAACCTTTCATTAAGAGAACAAAAATGTGGTACAGTCTAATATTACATGGAATATAATTTAGATTTAAGGGAGGCAGTGGCATGCTCTTGTAATTCAGAATCAGGTTAATGTTCCAGGGACATGGATTTGAATCTAACCACGGTAGATGGTGAAATGTGAATTTAGTAAAAATCTGGACTAAAAAGCCAGCCTAATTGTAATTACTGTTTGTAGTTGTGGAAAGTTCACTGATACCTTTTAGGAATAAAATCTACCATCTTCACCTGGTCTGGCCTACATGTGAGTCCATATCTACAGTACATGTGATTGATTGTTGAATGTCATCTGGGCAATAAGGGATGGGCAATAAATATAGGCTTAGCCAGTGACACCCACATCCCAACAGCAATTTTTAAAAAAGGGATCTATTGAAGGGGTGACAATTGTGACTGCTGAGTTAAGTGAATGGGTTTGGAGAAAGGCTTCTATGTTTATGGTGGATGGAGATGGGCTGAATGAAATGTGAGTGTGGCTGCACGATGCTAAACAAATAATGTTTATTTGATATTTAACCCAAAAAATGCTTGAAATTCATTGCATTCTTAATTAGTTGTCAGATTTTCAATTGATTTATCATGTACTAAATCAATCAAAGCTAACTGCATCAATTCAGGTTCTTCCAGGATCCCATTTTAGAAACAATATAGGATTTTTAACTAATTTACAAAAACATTCTATTTGTAGATTCCATGTAAAAGTATTTAATGATGTATATGTATGTATATTACCTTTGGTATTTGTGTGTCATATCCATTTAACAAAGAAAATCCTAGAAGAATTCGGAGCAAATGCAAAAGTGTGACTTTTTGATTTCATAGGCTACTGTTTTTGTTAAAGTGGCTCCTTTTATATTCTCACTAACTCATTTAATAGCTGTTACAGACATGCAGTTACATTACCTTTTATGTTGAATTATTTTAGGATTTTCTTGGTAAAATGGATATGACACGTGAATACAAGACAATATACATAGATATACATTATTAAATACTTGTACTTTGAACCTACAATAAATCATTTTTTGTTAATTAAAGCAATCTCAAACTCTGTCCCACAAAGAGCCCATGAAAAAGAATTATTTTGAGCCCTGTTTTGTGAGATCATTCCATTTCATGTAAGTATCAGGAGTAGTTTCTTCACTGTTGCAAAAACTGAAGAACAATATTTACACCACAAACGAAAACAAGCCAAAGATATTTCATTCTGAGAATATAATGCAATCAGAATTATTCTGTAAATTTTCTAAAATGTCACTTTATAATAATTGGATAAAATTACTGATTACTAATTAAATAGCATTTAATAGGTAAAAATGTGTAATTTTTGAAAGCTGCACCATAACTAACTCCTTAAGTTGGAATTCTTCTAATCAATTTTTCGTTTGTCAATTCTTCTTAGGGCGCTTCTACTATCTGATTCACTTTAAAAAGCTGACCTACGGTGAGGCTGTGCAAGCCTGTATTAAAGATGGATCAAGGATTGCTAATGTCGGTCAGATGTATGCAGCTTGGAAGTTACTGGGCTATGACCGCTGTGACGCAGGCTGGCTAGCTGATGGCAGTGTTCGTTATCCAATCAGCAGACCCCGAAAGAGGTGCAGTGAAAGTGAAGCAGCTGTGCGCTTTGCTGGATTCCCAGACAAGAAACATCGGCTATATGGTGTCTACTGCTTCAGAAGCAATTGATAATTCATATAAAAGCTTAGATGGAGACAAGTGTTATTTTAATTCTGCACATGTGAAGGATGTACTTTCAATGATATGAACTCAAAATATGTTACCAAAACTGTGATAAAAATATTTTTACTTACTGTACAATGCCATTTTCATACAAGCCAAAACATTTTTTTCTTTATAGTAATGTATCATACAATCATTAAATCTTAAAAATAATATAATTTTTATAGGACTCTATACCAAGGATTAGCACCATTTTGCTTCTTTTTAAAGTAGCAGTTAGAAAAATTTAGAAAGGACATTGCTCTGGCTGTATCTAACAGATAGAAAATTCAGGAATGGGTGGGACATGCCATAAACAGATCTTATTTAAAGTTGTACGGCCATTCATTTGCAAAATGGGCATTTCTCAGGCAATCTTTCAATTTTTTATGTCAAATATACAAGCGTTCAGATTCATCCTTTCAACTTTCTGAACTATACTGCATTTCTGACTCTCCAGCAATTGAACAAAATATTGAAGAAACTTGATGCTAGACTCTAAAGTCCTGCAGCATATTATTATTTGTCAAGTAATTATTGTATTTGATTAGGCTACCATTTATTTTCATACTTTTGCAAAACCATTAGATAGTGAACAATTTGGAAAAACCCGGCACCATTTTAATTTTCATAGATTTGTGTGATTTTCCAGACTTGATGAATCTGCTAGTTTTATCCCCGACCTGCAATAGTGATTATCATTTCAGAGAAAGTTTAAAAGCTTTGACATTGGACCACTTTTTCCAATGGTGTTCAGTGGCTTTGCACCACATTTGGTAACATTTTAAAGTCAGTATTTTGTACTGTGTTGTACTAATATACTAATTTGAACAAGAAAAACATTTACTTTCTAACAATCTAATATTTTACCTGCTTTTTTTTTTGTTACCTGAACATAAGCTTTTCCAAGTCTTTTAAATAAATCCTAAAACCCTAGAAGAGGATAAAGGAAAAGAATGACTATATTATTGTGATGTAAAATGGTTACAGGATTCTACAATCCTCATTGAACCCTCAGCAAAATCTTAAAATCTGCAAAACTAAGTTTGAGTTTGTAAATCCAAAAAAAATGGTGCTATCACAGTTTAGTTCAAGAAAAAGATGATGAAGCCAAGCCAAACATGTATTTTGTTTTGTCTATTTATACATTTTTTCAATATATTATTGTAGCTTAATTTCCATATTTTTGTGGCAAGCAGGACTATTTGATGCACACATCTCTCTCTCTGAACAAATAGGTCTGGTTATTGTGCTGAATAATGAATTGTCTGAAGAAATGCAACATCTTCTTAGGCCTTTTCATGTCTTCAAAATCTACTGAAGGTCACCATTATATTTAAGAAGACTGTATTTAATTGTGACACAACTAAAAGGGGGAGCCTCCCTGCACATGCACAGATGCTGTGTCAGTATCAGTGTCAGAACCTGTGACTATGTTAAGTGAGAGATGCTTTTTGTTTTCTTCTTCTTTATTTTATTCATGGAATGTAACCATGACTGGCTAGGCCAGCATTTATTGCATGTCCCTTTTGCCCTGTGGAAGGTGGTGGTCAACTGCCTTCTGGAATTGCTGCGGTACTTGGGATGCAGGGACATGCTCTGTGCTGCCATGAAGGGAGTTCCAGGATTTTGACACGGGACTGTAAATGATAAGCAATATATTTCCAAGCCAACGTGGTGTTTAGCTTGGCAAAAAACTTGCAGATGATGGTACTCCCATGAATCTGCTGCCCTTATCCTTCTTAGTAGTAGTCATTGTGGATTTGGAAGGTGCTGTCCAATGAGCCTTTGTGAACTGTTGCAGTGCATTTGTGGCTGGTGCATACCGTTACTACTATGCATTGGCAGTGGAGGGAGTAAATTTTGATGGTGTTAGGTGGAGTGTCAGTTAATTGGACTGTTTTATCCTGAAGGATGTTGAGCTTTTTGGATGTTGTTGTGGCTGCAGCCATCCAGACAAGTGGAGAGTATTCCATCGCACTCATGACTTATGTCTTGTAGACAGTGGACAGGTTTTCAGCAGTCTGAACCTGAGGTTCTTATTGCATAATTCCTGGTGCCTAACTTAATTTTATAGCTACAGTATTTACATGGATAGGCCAGTTCAGTTTCTGGGCATGGTAATACTTAGGATGTTGATGGTAGGGGATTCAGTCGTGGTAATGTCATTGAATGTGATGGTCGGATTCTCTCTTGTTGAAGATATCCATTGCCTAGCACTTGTGCGTCACAAATGTTACTTGCCACATATTGGCAAAATTGTGCAGATGTCTTTTAAAATGTTGGTTTAGTTTCCTTGCTCCTGTTAGATCTATCTGCTGGCAATACCATGGGTTCACGGTGTGCTTTGTGCAGCACTCACGTTGTCCATGTGTCAAAGGTTACCAAATAGAGCTGTTCCATCTCAACAAGCAATCATCTGCAAAGCAAACATTTATCCAAAATGTTTTCAGCCCCAATTGCATAGTAAGTAAATATAATGGGTTCATTCATCATTAACAATAAAACAATAAAAACTCTATTTAATGGTTGTGATAGCCAGATCAAAAATCCATTTATCACAACAAACAATCAATTTTTGGAAGTCACAACCGAGTAATCATACTCAGTTTATAAGTTTTTTTTTAATTGAACATTAGTTATGAGCATGATGTACTTCCAGTTTAACAATCTCTATTCAATTGCTTTTTGATTTTAGATTGCTGTTTGCTTTTTGGTTTTGACATTGTAAAATGATAATAGTTTCGCTCATTCAAATGTGTCACCACCACCACTCATTTACAACTCAGTTCTAATGTAATTGACATTTCCAGACTGGAAAAACTACCTATTTCAGGCCTTACCTGGAGGCTGTAAATTCTGTTCACCAGAACAGCTAGTTGGAGTAGGAGTGAACATTGAATGAGAATAAGAATTTGGAGTAGTTTTAACACAATTCTGTATTACATTTATTTATTCTCTTGGAAAGACATTACCGATTTAATGGAGGAATAGATCAATTATCGTTCAGCTAACGGAGCCTTGTTCAATGTCTAAACTATGGTGCAAACTTCACCATAGATTCATATGTTTAGATCCTTTAACATGAACTGACAACAGTTCAGCAAACATAAACTTATCTAATCTTCTTCAAAGGAAAACGTTATTTAATTGTTCATCATTGTGAGATCAGGGTGCACTGGTTTATAAAGAACTAAGTGTTACATGATGTCGTCCCACTGGGTGAATTTTTACATATTGCCTAACATGATTACAAATGTGTTATGATACAATGTTTGTCATTTGTGCCTCTATTGTATTCCAAAGGATACATCATGTGTCAATTTTTCATGCGTCAATATATTTTCCGGCTTTTATCTGATTATCTACTATTTTAAGCTGATTCTTTTTGTGATAGAAAAGTATTAATATCAAATGCTGTGATATGGTTACATACAAAGCTGTTCTGACATTTTGTTAGTTTATTAGTTGTCCAGGTTAACATGAGTATCCTGAATACTGAATCAAACTCGTTGAGAGTGTTTCAACAAAGGTGAATATCAACTGGACTGTGGCCTTTTCATGGTTAAACCTCATCTGCTTAACATCACCAGAGATTAATGAGCCCTGAAAGGAGCTCTCCAATTGGGGGAGGGCAGGAAATCTGACCATTCCTTCATGAAACCAAGATAAAGTTTGCGTTTGAAGTAGAATAGGGGAGGAAATTCTGGGGGACGACTTATAAAACAGCAGACTGGAAGATTTACGTTGGGCCATAACGAGCATGATGCACAGCAGCACCTAAGAAATTGCATATGATCTTTACAACTAGAGTAAGATCCAAAGTTAAATATTTAATTAGGTGCCTGCCTATTTCAAGTAGGACTGATGGGTATATATTTCAAGGCCTTATTAAAAATAGAATTGAATGGGCCTCGGAAGGCCAGTGAGTTATAGTTTCTTTTTGGAAATAAAGGTTATTGTCCCATTTTTTGGCATGACCAGAACAGTTATGCAACAATTCAAGATCCACTGAAGTGAATTTGTTGCATCAGGGAATGAAACAATGTTGAAGAGAGAGGGAGTTTTTTTGTGCTGAGGAGCAACATCTTGCTGAATGAGAAGTGAGGTCTTGAATCACATCACACAATGCGGTCATGGCGGGTGTGGTTTAGAATTCAGACCATCCTGATTTTTGATAGCAAGAATGTCAGTTAGGAAGGTACTGCAGAAGGTGATTTTTGTTTGCTCTGGGAAGAGTGAGATCTGTTTAGGGAGAAAAAATAAGGAACTTATCAAGTAGATGAATTTTGTCTCAAGCAGAACTTGTGAATGGTATACCAGGGTTTGAAGATGCTGTTGATGCTGTTCACTGTCTGTAATGGAAAAATTAGTTTTTACCATACTTATTTTTATCTGGCTGCATGGAAAAGCTGGATGCAGTGGGTGATATTACTTGGTATACAGCTTCCTTTAGTAGTATCACAGACAGAATTTATGTATTCCCTTTTATTGCATGTAGTCAGCTTGGAGTTTATGTATAATGCATGTATGTTTAATCCCCTCAGAATGATTGTCCCAATTAAATAATTCCACCTGCAAGCATTTTCAGCATATTAAAACAATGCATGTTCATTTGGCATAACATATCTACCCCAGATATTTAAAATATGATGTCTCACTCGCTCGCCTCATGCACACAAAGACTAGGTACAGGTTCAAGTAAAATAATGCAATTGCGACTTTATGATTATCTCAGTCTTTTTTGTGGCAGGCGTTCATGGATGAGCTGATGCTTTAGTCAAAGTGAAGGTCCTGTAAAGCAATAAATTCTCAAAAAACTTCAATGCTTTTTGTTAAATTTCATGATGTTCGTTCTCAAGTGATACTGAAGTTGGAGCAGGTTAAGGAGAGTCCATTTCCCACTTTCAAGGAATTGCTGTTTATGACTTGGCTGCTCAGCTGACTCTGTTTCAATGACTTTATAGTGGAACTCTACGTGCAAAAAAAATTCTTGTTGCTTTCAAAACCAGACAAAAAAGTTGTCTCATCATTTGACCTGTTACATATCCAAAATTCTTTTCTAACTACGATGGATGGTTAGTTCAGTTACTTGTATTGTGCATTTCACACCTTGAGAGTTTGAGACAGCTTGTGTCTTGTACTTGATAAAATCCATTCAATTCATAAAATTCTTTTGAGTTAATTTCAAGAAAAAGTATTACTATCAAATCACTCTGAAAGGTTCCTTTTGATCCCTCTTAAGATAGGGGAGTGGGTTTCACAAAAGTAGTGAGGTATTCTTTGAGTGACCATCTTTTTCCAGCCCTTTGTAATCAGTTTTAAGATATAAAAACACGTTTGATTTCAGAATATACAGTCAGTATTTCAACTTCAATTGTGCTATACAGTTCAATTACTTTACTGGCTTCAGTCTCAATTTGCTTAAATGAATTTACAGAGAAATTTCTATTATTTCTGAGGTACATTAGCTGTATAAGAACCCAGGATAGCTATGTGGTAAAACTGCAGGCAAAGGAACAATATGATTAACTACTTTCAAAATGTTTGTGTCATTCTAACGTTCCCAATATGGAATACTTAAATTGGCAATCCCCTGTATTCATCTTTGACTATGTAGAGATTTTATCACTGAATGAGATAACAAAATGCTGGTAAGAAGAAATGTAACAATTATATAATCAGACAAATCAAAATCTCTTACTATAACCAGTGCATTGGTTCACATAGCTAAAAGAAAAGGCATAAAAGCCACAAGTACAAGTCTGGAGAAGATTGTTCTTAAAAAATATAGAAGCAATTGTTTTTGTGGATTCATAGAATCCCTACAGTGTGGAAGCAGGCCCTTCAGCCTATGGAGTCCACACCAACCCTCCAAAGATCATCCTATCCAGACCCACACTCCTACCCTATCCCTGTAACTCCTGCGTTTCTCATGGCTAATCCACCTAACTCGCACATCTTTGGACTGTAGGAGGAAACCAGCGCACCTGGTGGAAACTCCACACAGAGGGGTGGAATCAAACCCGGGTCTCTGGTGCTGTGAGGCAGCTGTGCTAACCACTGTGCCACCAAAAAAAATCACAGAAAACGTTATAAATGATATTTAAGAATTATGGTAAGAGGAACTCCATAATAAATCAGTCTTAATTTGCTGAGAAAGTTATTTGACTTATGCAATGAATGCTCAAAGAAGATGTTTGGAATGTTTCAGTAATTATGATACGTTTCCTTAGGTCATCTTAACTATTACATGTGATGTGAAAAATTGATATTTAAACCATTTGAGCTCTCACTGCATTACAGCTATGAACAAGTAAGGATATCAATTTCAGACGAAAATATAGCTGACTCGAGCAAATGTGTATAATTTCAATTCAGACCTTTTTGTTTATTGGCAATTTCTTTAAAGTCGTAAGTCAATATTTTGAATCAGAACAATAGAGTAACTGTTTCATAAAAATGTTATGTACAATGTATGAGCAAATCCTGAAAATGAAAAGCTATCTTCCCTCAAGAGCGGATTGTGCACTGCAATCCTCCTTGAATATCACGCAGTGTATAATGATTAGTGTCTCATGTATTCTATGAAATATAAATTTTGGAGGTGAGTCAAGGGGATATTCAGAATTTTGACAGTGATTCCTGCAGAGATCCAGATTTTTCTTGCGGTATCAATGGTCCCGATGCACCCTTTAACAGTTAAGCATCTCGTCTCAAGCCTCTAGCCGAATGTTAGTTCTCAAATGTACATAAATATACAGTCCAGCATATGGGTCATTTATTGCAACTTCCCATTAGCATGAATTTGTTGCTTCAGCTGATGGAACAATGACACAGTAAAAAAACTTATTGCTGACTGTGTTTTAAATAGCATCAAGGTTTGCAGCATTGGTCTTGCCCAAGGGTAAAATGCTGGGTCTTTTTTTCGCTTGCGATACTTCTACTTCCTGCTCTCACATACTGCAGTATTTTGTCACTCTATTATCAGTATCTTAATTTTAACCTTTGGAGGTCTGAATACTTCACTACAACCTGCAGCATTCTGGTGACACCATTATAGAAATTTAGTATGACGGAGGAAGTAAATTAACATTTATTTTTTAGAACACAAGCACATAGAGCAATGTTTTAATGGCGCTAAACAATTGGC